AGCAAAAGTTGTTATCTGTCGCGGCGTGGTGAAACCGCAGAAACGGAACAGCCACTATCTCGTCGTGCACGGGATACACATGCCTGATGAAAAATGAAGTTGAATGCTGACGTGAAGCAGTTGATGATTAAAGTGTACGATTTTTTGCGTGCTGAAGCCGAAAGGGGCAAACCATTTTATGCCATTAATAAATTCCGTAAGCGGGCAGCAAAAGCTTTAGGAGTATCAGCAAGGGTACTGACAAATGTTATGGAACACAAACATTGTGAGGGTGATGCGAAGCAGGTAGGGGTCGTGTCAAAATCACACAAATTAAAACATTTGGACAACTTTCAAAAGAACCTTGTAAGGCAGTCTATCAACAAGCTCTATCCTGAAAACAAATATATGTCGCTGAAAATTTTAAAAAAGAATTTGAAGCAAGAACACAACCTCAGAGTATCAAAGTACACACTCTGGCGACTCTTACACTCTTTCGGGTATCGTTATAAGAAAATTTCGGGGGAGAATAGGTCAGTACTCTGTGAACGCCCTGATATCGTTCGCTTGAGAAATAATTTTCTCAGGGTTATACAGAAGAAGCGCGAGGAAGGGTTCGAGCCAGTGTACTTGGACGAGACCTGGGCCAATGCCTCGCACACTGCTAGCGGTCAGTGGGTACCCGATGGGGTTGATAAGGGGTCACGTAGAAACTGCCTCAAGGGAAAGGAGAGAGACTAATCATTCTCCATGCTGGTTGCTCCAGCAAAGGCTTTCTCCCAGGCTGCGACTTGGTATTCAGGGCAAAGTCCACAGATAACAGAGACTACCATTCCGAGATGAATGGTGCGGTTTTCCTCGATTGGGTTAAAAACAAGTTGGTACCAGCTCTACCAGAGCGGGCTTTAATCATAATGGACAATGCCCCATACCACAGCGTGCAGGACCCCGACAGTAAAGCCCGACATCGAACAGTCGAAAAGGTGATATGATATCATGGCTCGACAAATTTCAGATCGCACGGCCTTCAAAGGCAACGAAGCCTCAGCTATATGAGATCCTAAAATCCCACAAAGGTGAACCTTTCTACAAAGTTGACAGTTACATAAAAAGTAAGGGTCACGATATTCTGCGACTTCCACCCTATCACTATGACATTAACTCCATTGAAATGATATGGGGTATTGTCAAAGGAGATGTTGCCAGATCAAACACAACTTTTGGATTACGTGACGTAGAGGTTTTGGTTAAGGAATCCCTGAACAAAATCACGACTGAAACTGGGCAAAACTGTGTCAACAAGGTAGCTAACGTCATTGAACAAGGTTACTGGTCTCGGGATGGCTTACAACAGGCAACTGTGGCACCACTTGTCATCCCTTTAAGTCGTGACTATGACACTACGACAGACGAGGAACCGACAGGTCTCCCGGAATAGATTTTGAGATGTCCCCGCCATGACTGGCTGTTCCGTTTCTGCGGTTTCATCCCGCCGCGACAGATAACAACTTTTGCGTTTTCAATGATGATAGTTTCTAAAACAGCTTTTTTGGTGGTGTCCGGAACATTTTCAAATATAAGAAAGCTGTTGGGTATTAGTAAATGATAAACATGTGTACTATTTATATTTATGTGGCAATTTTGTACAATGATACAATTTGCAATTCATCGGTCCGTTTCTGACTCAAACGGACTGTAGTTCACACACATTTTACTGGCAATGCAACATCCTTGTGTTGAAGGTAATAAGGAAAGGTGCTTTAACGTTAGAACACTAATTCATGTACATGTTTACCTGCGTTGGTGTCCGGCTGCTGTGTGAGACCGCCTTGCATGTACCCCGAATCAAGGCTTGACTTTGACTTGAGGGTAAGCAGTTTCAGTGAGCGCTTGAGTCATATGTTTACTTGTGCTGACATGACCAACTCAAAACCCCCGTCGGTGTTATAATAAATGTCACGCTGTTCTTCTCTGCATACTATGGGACACTGTAAGGGATATTCCCACGATCTCACGTTATCGCGATGTCGATCTTTGGAATTAATTTAAATGTGCCACAAGTGTTAAATGCGAGAACCCGAGATTTTCGCGCTTTGGGCATACCTACCTCATTTCAAACTCGAGATCGCGAGAATGTGAGATCGCAAAACTACACCTACATAAAACACACTTTAGTCCTGCTGTTTGTGCCATGTTGTGTTAAGCATGCATCGAGTGAGTGAATGTTGTTTTACGCTACTGTCAGCATGGTTGGTTCGTTGTTCAACGCTGCACTCCCCAATATTCCAGCTATATGGCGGCGGCCTGTAAATAATCCAGTCTGGACCAGATAATCCAGTGATCAACAGTATGAGCATCGATCTACGCACCTAGGATATGATAACATGTTTCAACCAAGAGCTTGACCACCCGATCCCGTTAGTCGCCTCTTACGACAAACATGGGTAAGCTGAAGATCAATTCTAATCCGGATCTTCACGGGTGCCACTGCCAGCACTGTCTAACTGTCCAATCAGTGGTTCAAAGCGTCGATTCAGGCAGTCATCGTTAGCTGACACACAGACTAAACATCCGTAGCATCTGATACACAAAAAACCGTCTTACTTTTCGATTTGGACTAAAAACACACCAGGCACAGGTGTTTTGACAAACAAAAACTTTAACTGAAATATATAGTATAATTATATATTTTCCCGGCGTCTTCCCGGAATGCCGGCACCCTTTGATTTAGATAGGTAAAGCAGTGAAGCATGCTAAAGTAGACGACAAAATAGCACCTATTGGGCATGCTCAACACCAGACTGCACCGCAACTGTCAACACGAAAGATGATCTTGTCACTAAGCTAGGTCAGCCTCACAACCATCCTACAGATAATACCATATTCGCCGTACGTAGAAAGGTTTCTTTCTAATATCAAGCAGATGGCAGGACAAGGCGCCACACCTGTCACGCAGATTTACAGAGAAGAAGTTGGACGTAAGCAGGAAATTTAAAGTTCATTTAACTACAAATGAGTGAGGTGAGGTGAAATTGGGTTTAACGTCGTGCTTGAGAATATTTTGCTCATATGACGACGTGCATGCGTGTGTATGTGCATGTGCGGCTGCTTGTACTAGCCAACACTTTGACTGATTTTATAGTGCTAGCCCACTGAGATACCATGCCGCAGTGAAGCATGAATACACATTATACTGACTCCGAACCGACCAGTCATTGTTGTACCCATTAATGCTGAGCGCCAGGCAGCGACCAACAAGTACCATATTTTAACGTCTTTTAATATGACGCCGTCGGGGATCGAACCCGCGGCCTTCCGCTCTCCGGGCGGACGCTCTAACTACTACACCACGGAGGCGGTTAACTACAAATGGAGTTTATTTGATTTCACTATAATAGTAAATTATTGATAATACATAACACTCGTTGACTCGCTCATAACCATTTGACTTACTGTGTGCTATCTTTTAACATTTTTTCTAACAAATCTTCCTAAATGTTTCAGAATTTCGTGCGATAGAATGTTACTGCCTTAGCTGTGTAAATGTCTTAACTATGTCCTTTGGTGTTCACGTATTAATGAAGGATATATGTCCATTGCTTTACAAAAATAAAATGTCTTTTAATTGTGACATCTATTTTTCTTTCATTTTCCCTAGTAAGACAAGTACCACCCATTACTAACCCCTGCATGTAAATTGTACGTTTAAATTTGATACGACTTGTGACAACAGCGGATTAGTTCAGCAACCATAACATGCCGGCATTCCGGGAACAAACCAGTTTCCCTTCAGTGAGACCTACCTACACGCTATTTAACACATTAACTATTGCATATTTTACTTTTTATTATTTCACGTCGGAATGGCAACACTGGGCGGGGTGGAGATGGGAAACACAGCGGAAAGTGTCTATGACATGATGGCAAGATTCCTAGAAATGCCGTGTGCTGTCCTTACAGTGCTGATGGACGAAAAATGGGGCAAGTGCAAAGCTGATTTGGCCACATTATGATACGAGGAAGCTCGACTGGCATAAGATGTGATACAGTTCTTGAAACCGATGAAGAACATGACCAGAATGCTATGCACAGAAAACTCCCCCACTGTGTAAGTCATCATGCCATAGAAACATCATTTGATGAATGTCGTCTTTCCTCAACGGAAAATAAAACGGATAGTGGCAACAGATTTTCAACCAAGGTATGTAAACCAAGCAGAAATGCTGTACGCAACCTTAGTTGTTGATCATGCAAACCTCTTCATTTCCTCTCAGATGAAGAGAAATATGATGTTTTAGGAAATGTCACAGCACAAACAGCCAAAATAACAGAGAAAAATACAAGCCTGTTATCAAAACTGAACCTGATACAGGTGACAAAGAATCAACATTGCCAAATTTGCCAGACCTACACCCGGACGCCCCAGTGAAAACAGAGTCTGAGCTTACATCTACTCCCACTGAATCTAACAATGAGGAACGAAAATCAAGTCAATCAGCCATGGTTGCACCGAAACCAATCACACTCCTACAAGGATTGCTCGGAGAGGCTTTATTGTAAAATCTGAGCCAGCACAGCCCCCATTTGAGCCAGCGAAACGTGATGTGGAGCAGTACCGCAGTGAGCCCGGTATGGTACTGAGTGCGAGCAGCCTTTCCTGGTGGAAGATGAATGAGGGCAAGTACCCCCATCTGGTACATTTGTCATGATTTTAAGTATACAAGCAACACGTCTTCCCTCAGAAAGGGATTTTCCTCAATGAAACCAGAAAATGTAGACATTCTCCTCTTTCTGAATTATTTGTTTTAAATAAGTACAGTGTATCAGTGATACTTGTTGTCTGTATGAGACACTCTGGCAATCAACATGTTTGTGTTCAGAAATTGTCTATGTGGTGAAACTTTTATTTGTGAACTTTTGAATTTAGTTTGTAGTCTCAGGTAGAGGTCTGTTTTGTTTTGACTCTTTCGTGCCATAAATTACTGTTAATGAGTTTTTTAAATGAAAACAGAAGAATGGTCTAGTTTTGCCGTTTTTTACTTTGAAAGAAGCTATACAATGCACAATGGTTACTCACATATACTATGATTCAATTTGAATGTAAAAGAATATTACAAAGTGGACAGATCTCATTAACTTTTCTTTCACAATATACCGCAATACGTATTGCGGTGCAGAAGAGTGTATTGCAATATATTGCAATACGAACTTTTGGTGCAATACATCGATCTATCAATGTCATCCTTACCTACACACTATTTAACACATTAATTATTGCATATTTCACTTTTTATTATTTCTCGTCGGAATGCCAACTCTGGGCGGGGTGGAGATGGGAAACACAGCAGGAAGTACGGACAGCCTAAACTGCGTTACTGTACTCATGGTAAGAGTTGTCAAAATGGAACAGTATTCGTAAGCCGTCATGAAAAACGGTTCAAAGAGTTGTATAACCAAATTCTCTAACCAAACAGTATCGCAATTATCGCCACTCATGTGGTATGTAAGCACAAAGAAAACACTTCATCAATTTGTTTTGGCTTAGATTTCAAGCCTGATGTATATATTCTTGTATCTGCTATTGCCAAGAAATATAACATATATAAAGTCACTGTACATATTTATGGAAATATTCATGTATTATTACAATGTGGTGTAAAATGTTACTTCAGTTCTTTGTTAATAAACTCTAAAATACTATTCATGATAACTGGACCAGCATCGAACCCAAACTTCTCATAATCAAAAGCATTCAAGATTCCATGAAACGAGTCGGGCAGGTACTTAAGCTGAACTTTGTTCCCAGCTTGTTTCAGCCTCTCAGCTAAGATGAAGCTCTCGTCTCGGAGCGAGTCCCATTCCGCAGCCACAACCAGAGAAGCTGGCAGATTCTTCAGATTCTCCTCCATCATTGGGGCCGCCCTGGGGTCACTGAACATCCTGCTGATGTACTTGACGTCATCGGTTACAGAGCTTGCAAGTGTCACTTCCGGTTCATAGCCATCCGGAATAAGTTCCTTTGGGAGAAGTCTGTAATCAACGAGTTTGGTACATCTCTGCACCAATTCCGGTGTGGAGTACTTCATCGTCACCAGAAGTCGAGTCTGAGCCTCAGTTAAACTGAAATAGGCTTTGTAGAAGGAGGCTAACATCAATGTGGAGTTCTCATACTCCTCACGTACTTTCATGATTGGCAGAGACATGTCGCACATTTGGAAGAGACCGTAGATCAGGAGCTGGGACTTCAGAGCTGGTTTTACCTTGTCGTCCCTCAGCTTCAAGGATACTGCTGCTGCCAGATTCCCTCCGGCACTGTCACCTAGGAGATGTTGGTATCAAACATTTGCATTTTAATTTTCGACTGTTCTGATTAATCAGTGTGAACTATTAAAACGTTGACAAAATCGAAGTTGAACCCAGGAAGTTTCCATTATGCCAAAACAATATAAGATCTTTAACGTAAGAGGTTCCCTTCTTGCCTGACCTAATCCCCATAAAAGATTACTATTTTGTTGTTTAAACACTGCATACAAGAAAATGTCATCTCTGGATCGACAGGGCAACAAACTACTGATTGATATAATGAGCAATATGTCCTGTGTTCCGGGTATGACGGTAACTATCCACCAAGTCACATACACTTCCCATCCGATTCCCTTAGCTGACTTAAGATTAGCAGGGCTGTCTGAGAACATAACAAACCACTTGTAAACAAACGGATACCTCGGCCTTTCTATGGATAACAAATATTCAGAAACAACAGATTTCGGCACTTGCAGGCAATAATGCTTCAGAACTCCTAACCCCAAATTGCATAGCCCAGTGGTTAAAGCGTTCGCTCGTCACACCGAAGATCCGGGTTCGAATCCCCACATGGGTACAATGTGCGAAGCCCATTTGTGGTGTACCCCGCCGTGATATTGCTGGAATATTACGAAAAGCCGCCTAAAACTAAACTCACTTACTAACTCACTAACCCCCAAATTTCACGCAATCAGAAGGAAAACTACCAGGATCTACGAAACCCCTGCCAAAAGCATCGTTGACCATGACATTTACCTCCTATTGCGATCCTTGTCGGGTCAAGGTTGAGGTCGCGACCCTTTTTGTAAAGCATAAAGCGCCACCTGGACACAGTCATCGAAACCAGCAGGGAATGGATTTTCCGGAGCCAGTCGGTACCTGATGAAGTGAGGGAAATATAATATATATACATGTACTTGCTCTGAGGTTCGGGTGTATTTCCAGTTTGCGTTTCATTTCAGAGGCGCTTTGTATTGGCAAGATTACTGATAACAACTTCAGGAGCAAACGTGCGTCGGAGAGAGTGTAGGTTCTGGGTATGCGGCGGTTTGAGATAAGTTGTAATTTTCTGTAGTTGAACTTACTCAACGGAGATGACGATTATGTTGGTCTTACGAGCGATGTGGGCACACTGTGCATCGTAGGTGGCTGGAAAATAAATACCTCATGGTTTACATGGGAGGAACTCTCAGTATATCTCTTACATTCAGCCTCACTCTCACTATCGGGTGGTGGGGTAGCCTTGTGATTAAAGTGATTTCTGGTGCCCCCGCCGTGATATTGTTGGAATATTGCTACAAGCGGCGTAAAAACATACTCACTCACTCACTCAATCAATCACTACACTCTCACTTCTCTGTAGCCCTCTCTCTCTCTCTCTCACTCTCTCTGTCACTCTCTCTCTCCTCCCTCACTGTCTCAGACACATACTCACCAATGTTCATGACTGTCCAGCCGCCACCATGGTAATACACCAACCCAGGTAATGCTCCCTTGGCTGACTTGGGTTTGTACACCCTAACTGGGACTCCATTCAATTCTGTGTCGTAAATCTGAAAAGAATAGCAGTGAATTTAAAGAAAAAAAAGAGTACAGAAATTCAAGATTGAGAGAAGAAGCTGACGTAGGACTGTGTTCAGGAAAGGTTGTTTACATCAGCCAGACACCGATACATATTGCTTTTGACAATTTCATGTTGTGTGCAGCCACGTGAGTCTTTTAAATTTCGATTCCCGATGAACCCCAAAAGTACTCGACTTTACATTTTACTGAAATTGAGTAATCCTAATTTTAACATTTGTCAAACAGGAGGTGAGGTGAGGTGAAATTGGGTTTAACTTCGTGCTTGAGAATATTTCGCTCATATGACAACGTGGATGCGTGTGTATGTGTATGTGGGCTGCTTATGCTAGCCCAGATTGAAGCTGGTTTTATAGTGCTAGCTCACTGAGATACCATGCCGCAGTGAAGCATGAATACCCCACTCAGACACATTATACTGACTCCGAGCCAACCAGTCCTTGTTGTACCCATTAATGCCGAGCGCCAGGCAGGGACCAACAAGTACCATATTTTAACGTCTTTTGGTATGTCGGGGTCGGGGATTAAACAGGAGGTCGTCGAACCAAAATAATTTTACCTCAAGTGCAGCCTGGTCCTCCTCCGTTGCAGAGTTTTTGAACAGGTAGTTAATGGTCTTCCTTATTCCGTACATCCTCTCGTTCCCATTCAAGCCAAGTTGGTAAGACACTTCAGACTTCCAAAACAAAAGGCAAAATGTACAATAACGCCGATACACTTTCTTTTGTCATTTATAAGTAAGAGTTTTAGGTGAAGTTCTCCAAGGAATGATGACAATTGAAATTAACACAAAATGTGTAGGTCACTGGAGACATTTGGAAAGTCTTGAAGCTGTGACAACTAAAATACCCTGTGCCAAACATGCTTCAGTTCGTGACCGAAGTGATCGCCCATCATCATGGCCAGGAGTGTCGTTTGTGTTATCGTTATTCTACATGTTCATTACCCATTGTGTAGAGTTGCGTCCCTTAGCCAAAACATAATCCGGTGAACGTTGGTTTCGATTCCAGAATCAAACGGATTATAAGTCCTGATCTTCAACCAAAATGAAGTTCTTGAAAAGCATTTAGAAGTTGGGCGAACATGAATACATGATTTTACGGATAACAACTAATTCTTCCTCCTTCACCGGGGATGATGAAGGACCAAGAATAAGCTCTGAAACGCCCTGTAAGGAATAAATACAAGTTGTTATCCATTAAAACTTGCATGCATTCAGCCAAAATGTATGTACGAGACAGAAATTTATGGAGTGTATGTACAGTTCCTGGATTGGTTTGATCTACTCACAGCCAAAAATGCCACTTTGAACCTGCCAAACATCTTCTGCAGTTGCCACTGGTTGGCCAAGTGGGCAGGTAGAGGTGTGTACAGCATGTATCCAAGACCGGCTAGCAGGACGCCGCTTACCACAAACAGTGCCGTGCATTTACCCATCCTGCAACACAGATTACCACAGTCTTCCGTTGTCATAACAGCTCTTCCGTCTGATACCGTTCTTAGCAATTATTCACAATTGAATATGTACGACTTTGATAAGAGACAGAGATACAGCAGTAGGTAATATAAAATACTCTTTTGATTTGGCGTTGCGAGGTTTATGTTTGACATTTATATCAATCTATAGTTATTACGATGTTTTGACAATTGGTGCACTTTCCTTGAATGACTGACATAGACAAAGTAAACATATTTAAGCCTTTCTTTAATTCCCAAATGGTGTTACAATTAAAATGAATTGGCAAATTTGTTCTGAGTAATCAAACTGAAATGTATGATTGAATGACAGAACCAAATGTATGCATGATGGGTTGTTTTTAATTTTCTAACGAATTCGCGCTGTTTTCCCAAGTTCCAAAAGTTACAAAAAAATTAATATAATGAATTTTGTTTTGTCATGTGATTGTCTTGCCTTAATTAACTAGGACCTTCCATTTCAGAATTTCAAATTGTTTTAATAGTTCCTGATAGATGACAAGTGTATTTTACGTGAGTCTTCAGCAATACCACGGGAGCACACAGTAAATGGACGACTCGTCTCGCCATGTATCATCGGGGAGCGCTGGTGTAGCCTAGCGGTTAAAGTATTCGTGGGTTCGATTCCCCACATGGTAAAATGTGTGAAGCCCATTTCAGGTGTCCCCCGCCCTGATATTGCTGGAATATTGCTAAAGGAGGCGTAAACTTAAACTCACTCACTCACCATGTACAATCATGTATACCTCCATACAGCTGGAATATTGCTGATTGTGGCGTTAAACAAAACAGCTAACCTTCATGTATTGGTTCACATTTCAATGAAATTAACCTAAATGACTGACTGACTGACTGACTGAGTTGATTTTACGCAATTTTTAGCAATATTCCAGCAACATCACGGCGGGGGACACCAGAAATGGGCTTCACACATTGTATCCATGTGGGGATTCGAACCCGGATCTTCGGCGTGACGAGCGAACGCTTTAACCATTAGGCTACCCCACCACCCCTTAACCTAGATGGAATCCTACAGCGACCAACATGTACATGTCGCTCTTGTCCTGTATGTACATGTATATGTTTGAACACCCACCACCGATACAAGCAATATTAGGGACCGTTCATAATTTATTGCTGAGAAATGATGATGATTTTTATGGGCATAAAGTGAATGACACTTCCCCTTAGATTTATGTACAAAGTAAGTGCCCCCTCCCGCATGTCATGTACAAAATCAATGACCCCCTCCTATAATCTTTTTCATGTACAAACTAGCCGAACCCCCCTACAGCATGTGAACAAAATTAGTGACCCCCCTACCTTCCTAGAACAAAATGGGTGACCTTAAAATCATCATCACAACCCCGTCCACCACCCACCCCTAGTCATAAATTATAAACGGTCCCTTTTTGAGGTTCTTATGTTCAATGTCATGAAAACACCCTTTACACAACTGCGAAGGTTACATAACCTTGGGCTTAGTAATGAGATACCTTTAACGTATGTTCGAAGCTTTTTCAAAACACACAAACATAATTACCTGCTTGGTGTCTCTATTCGGGCAAAGTCGCCTGGAGAAAACGCTGACTTTCGGCCGGCGGACTTTGAGTTCTAGGTGCACAAATTCACTGAGCTCTTGAGTCGCGATTGAGTCGAATGTTTACTGTTTGCACGTTGTCATATCATTCACTTTAGGGACCGTTCATAATTTATTGCTAGGGGTGGGTGGGGTGGGGTTGATGATTATTTGTTTTGGGGTGTCACCCAATGTTTTTGGGAGGGAGCTAGATGGGGGGTCATCAATTTTGTACACACTTACTAGGTGGGGGTCATAAATTTTGTACATAAAAATATGTGTAAGATTTTGCTTAGAAATCATGGGGAGGGACGGGTAACTGATTTGTAAATGACAGGCAGGGGCACTTATTTTGTACATACATTTTAGGGGGCGTCATTCACATTGTACATGCTTTTCCATAAAAATCATCATCCGCGAGGTTATCTCAAGCTATCCCAAACACACCTTCCCACCACTCGGCTACTCGATAAACATACACACATCAACCCAACAAACAATCGACATATACCCTTGAAATGTTCATGTAAATCGAATATACCACAGCCGTTAAAGAATTATGCGTCTTGTGACTGACCTGCATATCCAACTGAAAACGTCCCTCGGGTTTCGCAATCGTGTGTATTGACAGGCAGCGTAGGCATCCGAAACCTCGTGACCTAGATATTCACCCCATGTATTTGAGCCCATATCTGGGAGCTGAATACAGTTCCATTTAGCTGTGGTGAATATATGAGAGCTTTGAAAAACAGCTTCGATTGTAGGTAGTAATCAATTCTCACCTAACCAAGCAGGGACCGTGGTTTCATTGCGATCGAGGGAGTCTCTTTCAACAATATTTCAGTAGTTTTATGGCGTGTTATAGTTGGGAGAAGAATGAGATATAGTCCGTTTGAGTCAGAAACGGACCGATGAATTGCAAATTTTATCATTGTACAAAATTGCCACATAAATATAAATAGTAAACATGTTTATCATTTACGAATACCCAACAGCTTTCTCATATTTGAAAATTTTCTGGACTCCACCAAAAAAGTTGTTTAAGAAACTATCATCATTGACAACAGCAAAAGTTGTTATCTGTCACGGCGTGGTGAAACCGCAGAAACGGAACAGCCACTATCTCGTCGTGCACGGGATACACATGCCTGATGAAAAATGAAGTTGAATGTTGACGTGAAACAGTTGATGATTAAAGTGTACGATTGTTTCCATGCTGAAGCCGAAAGGGGCAAACCATTTTATGCCATTAATAAATTCCGTAAGCGGGCAGCAAAAGCTTTAGGAGTATCAGCAAGAGTACTGACAAATGTTCTGGAACACAAACATTGTGAGGGTGATGCGAAGCAGGTAGGGTTGTGTCAAAATCACACAAATTAAAACATTTGGACAACTTTCAAAAGAACCTTGTAAGGCAGTCTATCAACAAGCTCTATCCTGAAAACAAATACATGTCGCTGAAAATTTTTAAAAAGCATTTGAAGCAAGAACACAAACTCAGAGTATCAAAGTACACACTCTGGCGACTCTTACACTCTTTCGGGTATCGTTATAAGAAAATTTCGGGGGAGAATAGGTCAGTACTCTGTGAACGCCCTGATATCGTTCGCTTGAGAATTAATTTTCTCAGGGTTATAATGAAGAAGCGTGAAGAAGGGTTCGAGCCAGTGTAGTTGGACGAGACCTGGGTCAATGCCTCGCACACTGCCAGCAGTCAGTGGGTACCCGATGGGGGTGATAAGGGGTCACGTAGAAAGCTGCCTCTAGGGAAAGGAGAGAGACTAATCATTCTCCATGCTGGTTGCTCCAGCAAAGGCTTTCTCCCAGGCTGCGACTTGGTATTCAGGGCAAAGTCCGCAGATAACAGAGACTACCATCCCGAGATGAATGGTGCGGTTTTCCTCGATTGGGTTAAAAACAAGTTGGTACCAGCTCTACCAGAGAAGTCTTTTATCGTAATGGACAATGCCCCATACCACAGCGTGCAGGACCCCGATAGTAAAGCCCCGACATCGAACAGTCGAAAAGGTGATATGATATCATGGCTCGACAAATTTCAGATCGCACGGCCTTCAAAGGCAACGAAGCCTCAGCTATATGAGATCATAAAAAACCCACAAAGGTGAACCTTTCTACAAAGTTGACAGTTACATAAAAAGTAAGGGTCACGATATTCTGCAACTTCCACCCTATCACTGTGACCTTAACCCCATTGAAATGATATGGGGTATTGTCAAAGGAGATGTTGCCAGATCAAACACAACTTTTAGATAACGTGACGTAGAGGTTTTGGTTAAGGAATCCCTGAACAAAATCACGACTGAAACTGGGCAAAACTGTGTCAACAAGGTAGCTAACGTCATTGAACAAGGTTACTGGTCTCGGGATGGCTTACAACAGGCAACTGTGGCACCACTTGTCATCCCTTTAAGTCGTGACTATGACACTACGACAGACGAGGAACCGACAGGTCTCCCGGAATAGATTTTGAGATGTCCCCGCCATGACTGGCTGTTCCGTTTCTGCGGTTTCACCCCGCCGCGACAGATAACAACTTTTGCGTTTTCAATGATGATAGTTTCTTAAACAACTTTTTTTTGGTGGAATCCGGAAAATTTTCAAATATAAGAAAGCTGTTGGGTATTCGTAAATGATAAACATGTGTACTATTTATATTTATGTGGCAATTTTGTACAATGATAAAATTTGCAATTCATCGGTCCGTTTCTGACTCAAACGGACTGTAGTATACCCACCGTATTGAAGTCTTTTGCAGCTAGGTACACGCAGGGGGGGAGTTTCGTTGTCAATAACAGAAACACCATCATAGTTTAAATGCTGACACAATTAAATACGGACGGAGCCTCTCATGTACTAATCGTGCATGTTGAATTGCTTCTGTGAGCGTTGCAGGTCTGTGTTGCATAACCGGACCACGCAGGATAGGTTTCAACCCTCTAAAAAGAGAGAGTTATCATGTTCAGTCTTATTTAAACGTGAGCATTTTTGTTGAACATCTGCTATGTAAGATTCAAGCGGCTCTCCATCAAGCATTGTGCGGTCCCACAACAGTTGCTCCTACAGCCATGCACTTTGACCACGGACAAAGTGTTCATTAAAGTGATAAACACGTTGGTCTTTACTTTGCTTTACATGATCAGGCAAATCCAGAAACCATTGCAAAGCAGCGTCCTCCAGACACAACAACATAACTGATCCGTGTTGATCATCACTATACCTCTGAATTGCCGCCCATGCTTCAAATTTCCGTATCCAAGTAGTTTGGCATGAAATGCATGTTGACCCGTTTTTTTTGTAAATATCTCTTCTTCCAATGATCCAATCGATCTCAAACTGTGCAAGTGGATGTTTTGTCAGACAACCTAATCACATTGTAAATCACCGATTTTATGCATTTGTATTAAAGAATCTGTCTATGTAACTGTCAACAAAATAAACAGCAGAACGCAGACTGCTTGCAGAGGGAGGGAGTGATAAACCGTTTGGATCATTCACATTGACTACTTCTAGCTGTCAACATGAAAGCTTATTCAGATGATGCTAAACGTTTGATTAGAAATGTGTTTAATTGTTTTTAAAAAGAGAGCAACCCGATTTATAAGGTGGTCGGATTACATGAAACGTACAACTTTTGCTCTTGGCATGAAAAAGAACATCGTGCTAAAAATTGTGAAAAATAAACCAACAACCAATAAACAAAACCTTGTACAAAAAGGTAGGCATCCAAAGTTAGATTCTTTTGACATCAGGGTCATCAGATATGTCATTCGCCGGTTATTTGCTAGAAATGAACACCTGTCCACAAGAAAGTTAGAACACATCCTTGCAGAGGATCACGACATTAATGTTCTCTAGGTTTATGCTAAGCAAACTACTGCTCAAATTTGGATACAAGTACAAGAAGGTAGCAAACCAGAAACTTGTAATGTGTGAGAGATCTGATATTGTGAAAATAAGGTGTAACTATCTGAGAGAAATTAAGCAAGCAAGAGAGGATGGGTTCGAACCGATATATCTGGAAGAGACCTGGGTCAATGCAAACCATACTGCTGCCAGACAGTGGCAAAGGTGAACGTTTAATCGTTCTTCATGCTGGTTCCCACAGTGGATGTGGGTGTGATCTGGGTGTGATCTGGTATTTCGGTCAAAGAGCACAGATGGTAGGGACTATCATACAGAAATGAACTCAACGGCTTTCACACAGTATGTTGAGGAACAATTGTTGCCAGATCTGCCTTACCAAAGTCTTGTTGTCATGGACAATGCTCCCTATCACAGTGTTCGAGATCCAAACAATAGGTGCCCAACTTCCAATACAAAGAAGTCAGATATGCAGCAATGGCTAACAAATAACAATATACAATTTTTAATTAAGGCCACTAAACCACAGTTGTACTCTTTGATTAAACCTAACAAACCTCCACCCACATATAACATTGACAACATGCTACGCCAACACGGCCATAAGGTCTTGAGATTACCACCGTACCACTGTGATCTCAACCCAATCGAACTTATCTGGGGAGACTTTAAAAGTACAGTGGACCGGAAAAATCAATCATTCAAGTTGAATGATGTCAAGCACATTGTCAACACTGCTATATGTGACATTGACATTGCACGCTGGCATGCATGTGTTGAACATGTCAAGAAGGTGGAGAAAGAGTACTGGCTCAAAGATGGCTTGAAGGAGCAAACAGTTAATCCAGTTGTCATTCGCCTGGACACTGATGACTCCTCTGTGGAAGAATGGAGTGAACTTGATGAAGTTTAATTCTGTTATTATATTTACAGATAATAATAGTATCCAGCCAGATATGCTCAAAGAAATATAACTTCTTTTAACAATGACAGCACTGACTAATTCCAACGACTTATAGTGTAACATGAAACACTCATTTCACATAAAATTATCATGAAAATATAAATATTAACTATCTATATGCTTAAAGCTATTAGAAATGCATTGCTTAATTTGGAATGTGAACGACATCAAAACATAACACTTTTGTCTTCATTCTATCTTTTCTTCAATGAGTGTGCATGATTGTGTGTGCTTGTGTCCGAGGGAACGGGACTTTAACAGTTGTTGAGTTCTAACCATAGGTGGTCCGATTAATGATTTAGTGTACATATACTTTCTGTGTTCTTTAAATGCATTTCCTCTTAGGTACTGCATAAACAAAATATGACATTAACATTACAAATTTAAAGATTTTAACCTACAGAATAATTCTCACTAATGGGTTTTGTGGTTAATGTTGAACACATCAGAGAAACAAACTCCGTATGATAGTTAACAGTTGGCACCCACCTTACCCTATTCACGACCTGTGACACCTCTTCATACCTGTCACGTGCATAGCTGACCTACATTGACGAAGGTTGACAGCTAGAAGTAGTCAATGTGAATGATCCAAACGGTCTATCACTGTGCGGTGCACAGGTAACTATCATGAACTGCACGTGCATTGACCTTTATGACCCAACACTGCCGCTGTTACCGGTCATTGGCTCCCTCCCTCTGCAAGCAGTCTGCGTTCTGCTGTTTATTTTGTTGACAGTTACATAGACAGATTCTTTAATACAAATGCATAAAATCGGTGATTTACAATGTGATTAGGTTGTCTGACAAAACATCCACTTGCACAGTTTGAGATCGATTGGATCATTGGAAGAAGAGATATTTA